GGCTCAGGCAATCCTCTTGCCCTGGCCTCCCAAAATGCTGGGATTATAGGCTGAGCCACTGAGCCTGGCCTCTTATTTTAATAGTAGAAAAAAACACTGGTGCTCTTAATTATCTAGGAATACAATTCTTTAAGAAGGTGAATTTTCATCTTATTCTTCCCAATACATTCTCAGAGTTCTAATGTCTTTCGCATTTTGTAAGTGGCAGCACCACCTCAGTCAGTGACTTTGTTAGATTCTCTCCTGGCAGCTGAGAAGCACATGGATGGGAACTAGTCCTCTCAGGAACTCTGTATTATGATGTGGCAAACGGTAATGTGATAGCACCTTGATTTTCCTTAATGGATCTACAGCTAAGTCGTAAAATGGAGCCTTACCTCTCCTCTTATCTGTTCCTTAAATACAGCCCACAAAAATCTCTGGCTCCCCACCCCTTTAAAGCGGAGAGCTGGCCTGGCCAGTACTGAAAAAGTCTTTCCTGGTGCTGTATTAAACCTAGAAGAAACAAAACACGTCAACTATTTTCTGTGGGCCACTCTGCAATGTTTACCCAGCCTGGGTCCTTCAACGAGTCAGAAGGCTTGGGGTGATTTAAATTCTTATGACTTGAAAAATGCCAGGGCAGACAACCAGTCTAAGCAAAACCAAGAAGCAGCCAGCTAACAACTTTGTTTGCACAGATGCAAAGGCAGGGAAATTCATATGGTAAGGTCTGAACTCCAAAGTTTGTTTTGTTTTTAATTATACACCCAACCACATGCATAAAACCCACAAAATTAGAGTAGAGAAAATGTCATCTTTTCTAATTTTAGGCTGAAATATGGAGTTCATAAAAGCAATAAATTTTCACCATCGGGGACAAAACAACTTATAAATATCAACACCACACATACCCAAATGTAACAGTGGTAGACAGTTTTTATTCAGGCAATGAAACATGGAAAAAATATATTAGTAATCATTATAATAATTTGTGAGTATAACTTTTACAAATATTTACTTGACATATAAAAAGGGATATTACTGTGCATATAAAAGTTATGTAGATGATTACTCCACACAGCACAATCCTGACAGTAGTCAACGCAGCACTCCTCCCTCCGATGAGAGGCTCCTCACAGTCACAGCACCCGTGGGGACGCAGTGGAAGCAGATGTGCAAGGGGCATGTACTTGGCACATGAGTACAATGGTATCTATTGGCAAACACACTTGCTAACAGCAACACGGCAGAGTTTACTACTACTTCTGAGATTTAAAAGAAATGCCTGGATCCTATCCTGACGGCTGAGAGGGGCTGGGGCTGAGGCTGTGGTGTGGTCACCTACACGCTGCCCCATCTCTGGACTGGGGGTGTCTGAAACTCAAATTTTCATATGTCCAGCTGAGGATTCTTCATAGATCAAGAATGTTAGTTAATGATACCACTAGGAAATCCTTTCTGGAGTATACTTCAGAGGCCGCTGAAAGGCAGAGGAGGAAAGAGTGGCATCTGGACAGTTCTAAAGGGAAGGACTGATACAGGGAAGGATCAGGCCACACCTCAGCTTGCAGCCCAGCCTCCTCCACACACATTAAAGCATCACACAGACCGCCACAGGTCAGCATTGCACACAACATCTCCATAGTAGAACCATAACCAGAGTAGATATTTATATAGTAGCTGTAACCATATTATAGTTAATAAAGTCATTCCTTAGGAATCTTGTTTGCCCAAATCTAACTGCATGCTAAGAGGCACAGAAATGGGATTGCATTTGGACAAAAAACTACAAAAAGTGCAATCTTTAGTCTCCAGGATGCAAGCTCTGGCTAGGGATAGGTCTTCACTGGAATGCTGCCATTTCTGTATCTTTCAGAGGACATCCTTAGAGAGGAAAGTCTCGTCTACCAATCTCTTTTCCTTTACTATATGGGAGACTCAAGGATTTAGTGCTGAATTGCTTTTTAAAAATAACTGGAATGTTGAGGCTGAACAAATCTTTTTGGACAGAAGTTTCCTCAAAATATTTCTTTATTAAAATATTTGAAGAAGATGACTTAGACCTTTGGCTTGACATTCTGGGATTCCCAGACGATATTTGTTCTTTAATAAGCAAATAATAATCTGTTGTCTTTAAAATCCTTTAGAATATATACATCTTTAGTTTAAAATTCCTTGCTTGAATCACTTAATCTTTCAGCACCTAGTTTCTGTCTTCCCAACACAAGGACAGAATCAGAAACCCAAGTCTGAAAACAAGCTCACATAGTCACATAACTACAGAGACAAGTCATTGACAATTCATGAGATGGTTGCCAATGATAAATTTAAAAAAGGGGATTTAGAACATTTACTCCACTGAAAAAGAGTGTGCTGAATAATTTTCAGCTTTTGCTTTTAAAAACCTCCCCCATCCTTTATTTTTGGAGTCAGAGTCTTACTCTGTTGCCCAGGCTGGAGGGCAGTGGCACGCTCACGGTCACTACAGCCTCGACCTGCTGGGCTCAAGCCATCCTTCCACCTCAACCTTCCAAGTAGCTGGAACTACAGGCACATGCCACCACGCCTGGCTAAATTTTTGATTTACTGTTGAGACGAGGCTTCCCCAAGTTGCCCAAGGTGATCTTGAACCCCTGGCTTAGGCAATCTTCTAGCCTCCATCTCCCAAAGTAAAACCTCCCTTTTTAAGCTTTAGAGCCACCATCAAGCCCTGAGCCCTCCTTTATCGAAAGTGAGTGTTTCAATTCGGCTGCTATTAGTTAGCATCTGGGGCAGTTTATTCTGTTTATAATTAGACAAAACGAATTCAGGGTTGTCCAAGAAATACTGGAGTATTTGTGTGAGAGTTGTAACAAATGTGGGATAGGCAGAAAGGATGACTGGCAAGAAAGAAAATTCAACTGGTATTATCCTCTAAAACAATATAACCTTCCCTTAGATTCCATACCATCCTGGAAGGCTGCCACATCCTCAGAGTTTTTCACCATCATGTGCTTCTGCACTTCCTAATTTGGGCTGAGATTGAAGAAGCTAGAAACCACGTGAGAAAACTGGGCTTCTCAGTATTTCCAGAACAGTTTTACAGAACAAAAGGTTTGGGCAGGTCACCGGCTTCAAGGAGCTTCTCCAAATAAAGTAAATCTCGGGAGTTCTGACTGTATCTGACTATCTGGCCGGCCACACAGTCAACTGTTCAGTCTGTCTTCCATTAAGTTCAAAGCTACACTTTGGTAAAGTCAAAAGCTAAAGAAATGGCTCTGGATGCAGAACCTCAGCAGGATCCCCTAATATTCCCAAACCACCATCCAAGCCCTTCTGGTTCCCTTCTCCCTTCTGTAACAGGGTTGAGAATTGCCTAACAGGTGATCTGGCAGAGTTCTACAAGCTCTTCAAAATTATTTTTAAAGAAAAATCAGCAAATATACATTATTCTGCCCAGTATACTCTCTTGACTTGCCTGCTGCACGAGCTACATATCTAATCCTATTGGAGAGTATCCATCTATTAAGTCAGAATGGTGGACATTTCCTTGTAATGGTGATGGCTAAGGCCAGCGGCAAACATGATTTCACAAGGGCCGTATTTGTGGCCGTATTTCAATGGTGTTCCTGGAACTTCAAGTTTCATTTACTGGGCTCTCGTTTTGCTTTTGTTTTTTGAGTTGAAGTCTCACTCTGTCGCCCAGGATGGAGTAGAGTGGCACGCTCACGGCCACCACTACCTTGACCTGCTGGGTTCAGATGATCCTTCCACCTCAGCCTTCTGAGTAGCTGGAACTACAGGCATGTGCCACCACGCCTAGATAACTTTTATTTATTTATTTATTTATTTATTTATTTATTTTAGAGACAAGGTCTTGCACCCCTGGGCTCAGGCAATCCTCTTGCTTCTGCCTCCCAAAGTGCTGGGATCACAGGCTTGAGTCACCACGCCCAGCCAGGTCTCATTTTTAAGGGGTCTCTTCTACCAGTGTGCTAGGGAAGGTTTAGTTCACCTCCACTTTCACACAGCTACTACTTTTTATAAACAATAATCCTAAAACAATGAGCACAGATTTATAGTAGCGACCACTGTAAGCCTTTCATACTCAAAACAGACCAATATAAAACATAAACATCAAAGCACAGCAGCAAAAAGGTTCAGCAATTAATTTTTCTTTCTGCAAAATGAATTTTCTTAGTGGCCGAGGACTAAGAGAGGAAGTCAGTTACACCAATGGGAGACATGTGCACCTGACACGGTGACCTAGCACAGCATTCACATTAAGCCACAGTGATTACTTTCAAAGCCCAAATGATTGTCAAGCCACTTCTCAAACCACAGATAATTTCTGTTGTTCTTTTTTGTACAAAATGTTAAGACAATAGGCTTTAAAATATAGCCTAAGCACCAATTATGATAAATGCATATTGGTAAAACATAACTTCTGGCTTTAAAAGACATTATTGACCTCCCTGGGGCTAAAGATTGCACCCATGTGAATAATACACTGCTAAAGAAAATTCATTTCTTAAGATCTACAGAGGTTCTTCACTAGGCACAATTCATGGCTGAAGTTGGATCATGCAATAGATTTACAAGAAAAGTAGGAAAACTTACATGTACTGATATAGTGCATATCACCAAGAAGACTTTCAGGGTGTAAGATTAAGACAAAAGAGTGCTTTCAAACACTGGCATGGATTTGGTTTTGCCTATCATATGGAAGGGAATTCACTGGAATTTACATGGAAAATTTCCATTCTAGGGTTAATGTCCCACCACTCTGAACTGTGTCCAGTAAGAGCTTGAAGAATTTGGTTTTGTTAGTATAGACTTTCTCACTGCACTCCCCTCCGCAGTATTCAAATGGTCTCTGTTTGAAAATGTCCAAAATGTGTTCATTTTTGGAGTGGGTTACATGATATTTGCTGCCTGTTTTGTTAAAATTCTATCTGAAGTTGGGAAAAAAAATTTTGTTTTTTAACATCTAAAGAACAATGCATCATATTTGTCAAAAAAAACACAAAAAACAATGGTTTCCGTATAATTAGTAACGGGGCTACAGTTACTTTTTAATTAAATAAGATCATCTAAACCTATTACAGTAGATTTTCTTTGTATATTTAAAATAGAAAGATAACAAAGATTAAATGTTGATGTTGTATCAACAAATGGAGGCAGAGATCAAATTACTCTGGGGCACATTTGCCAAACCCCAGCCCATATTGCTGTTCGTGCAGAAAGCAGACACTACTTTCAGTCTGAGGACTAACCCCAAAAGGGCCGCACCCATCAGTGCTGAGGAGTGTCCAAATCCCAGGGCAACAAAACATCCCAGCAAAGTCTTCCCCAGATGTGAAAATCCGAGTCTGTGTTCTTCACATCTTCAGTGTCCCAAATTCTTAAGTTGGCATTCTGAGCCAGGACTCTATTTCAAAAAGAGTTTTACATTCAAGGAAATACGATCTTCAGTAGAGAAGTTCTTATTTGACTATGCTTTGGGGGAAAAAGCAGCAGCATATATAAATATACATGTACATGTGCGAATGTATGTATAAAACGAAACCCAGAGGCCCTTCTTGTTTATAAACTGGAAGTAACAGCAGGCCAAACTGTCTCTTCAAATAAAACCATTGATGCTGAAATTGAAAGATAAAATAAATAGGACACCAAAAAATTCAGACAGGTGGTAGAAAGGACCCCAAATAGGAGCCACAAACCCACAAATTGAATGCACTTGAAAAAGTAAAGTATGACTTTAAAGCAAACTAAAGATAGACAAATTACAAACCCAAACTCAGCAGTCTGTCCTGCTGAACCTATAGACGGGAACTGGGAGATGCCAGTACTGTCAGGTCCCACTCCTCTCCAGACTACACACCCTCTAGGGCTTCTTCCAGGGCTGTTGCATTGGCAGCAAAGCGGGACAGGCAGCAGTAGGCATGTGCTTTTTTTTTTCTCTGCAAAGGGGCAACTATTCCTGGATAAGGCAAGATAATTGTGGTCACAAGAGAAGCAGCCAAATGCAGATCTGCTGAGCTAACGGGGAATCTCAGTCAGTCTTTCCCAGCTTTGCAATCAGCTCATCACAGATTTTTGTCAGTTCTTCGATTTCCTGGTTCTGAAAGACAAACGATATGATCATGCAGGCCACTCTGAATTCTGAGACAAAGGCAATTACAGTTAAATAGTCCCAAGACTGGTTCTACCCTACCTAGACATCCTAATCTGGTGACTCTTAACTTTTCTACATCAAGATGCTTTAAAGAAAGGAAGGCTATATACCTTTTCTCCTGGAAAACATTCACATACATGTTTATGCTTAAATTGAGTAGAGGGTGAGGATGGTCACCAGCCCTCTGAAGTTTGTTCCATGAATCTCTTAGTTCCCAAACTGTCTTGTTATCAGAGAAATTACCCAGGTACTCATTAAAAACACAAGTCTGGGTCTCACAGCAATTCATCAGTACCTCTGGGGACCTGGGATTCTGGAGTCTGAACATCCCAGAGAATACCATTTTAGGGGCTTTCAGACCCTGTGATGAAAACTTCTGCTCAGGCTGGGCGTGGTAGCTCACACCTATCATCCAAGCACTTCAGGAGGCCGAGGTGAGAGGTCTGCCTGAGCCCACAGGTACGAGACCAGCCTGGGAAACTTGGCAAGGCCTCGTCTCTACAATAAATCAAAAAAATTAGTCGGGCATGGTGGCGTGTGCCTGAGTTCCAGTTACTTGGAAGGTTGGGGCAAAGGATCACCTGAGTCCAGCAGGTGGAGGCTGCAGTGGCCATGAGCATGCCACTGTCCTCCAGCCTGGGCAACAGAGTGAGACTCCAGCTCAAAAAACAAACAACAACAACAAAAACTCCTGCTTTTGCTGAATGGATGGCATAGGCATGGGGACATAATTGGAGACACAGTAAGAAAAACCCTGGACACATAAAAAAGAAAGCTAAAAATTGCTGAGTAGTAAGAAATATGGCCAGGCTTGGTGGCTCAGCCTGTAAGCCCGTGCCTTTGGGAGGCTGAGGTGAGTGGATTGCCTGAGCCTGTGGGTTCGAGACCCGCCTGGGCAGCGAGACCTCATCTCTACAATAAACCAAAAAATTAGCTGGGCGTGGTAGCGCGTGCCTGTAATTCCGGCTACTTGGAAGGCTGAGGCAGAAGGATCGCCGGAGCCCAGCAGGTCGAGGCTGCGGTGGCCAGGAGCGGCCACTGCACTCCAGTCTGGGTGACAGAGTGAGACTCCAACTCAAAAAAAAAAGAAATACGGACAGTTGCTACCACTGACTTTCATTTATCTGTCAACAGTTTCTCAACTAACACTACTGACATTTTGGGATGGGTCAGTCTTTGTGGTGGGGGCTGTCCTGTGCATTGTAGGAGTTTTAACAGTATCCTTGGCTTCTCCCCACTGGATGTTAGTAGTATCTCCCAGTTGTGACAACCAAATAGATATATCTCCAGACATGACCTAACAGCCTCTGGAGGCCAAAACTGCTCCCAAATGAGAACCAATGATCTAAAGCAGTGAAGGAAGAAAATGGCTTCATATATAGCATAAAAAACAGAGCTAGACATGGTGGCTCATGCCAGCAATCCCAGCACTTTGGGAGGCAGAGGTGAAAGAATTGCCTGAGCACAGCAGTTTGAGACCAGCTTTGGCAACTTGGTGAGACCTCTTCTCTACAATAAATCAAAAAATTAGCTTGGCCTGATGGTAGAAGGCTGAGGTAGAAGGGTTGCCTGAGCCTAGCAGGCCAAGGCTGCAGTAGCTGTGAGCATGCCACTGTACTCCAGCCTAGGCGACAGAGTGAGACTCTGGCTCAAAAAAACAAAACAAAACAAAAAAACAGAAAGGTCATCTCATGACCCCAACTAAGAAGGGTTTAGTCCCTGAACTTTAGTTAAAACACAACTTCTGGCCAGGTGTGGTGGCTCACTCAAGCCTATAATCCCAGCACGTTGGGAGGCCAAGAAGAGAGGACTGCCTGAGCCCACGGGTTCGAGACCAGCTTGGGCAACTTGGTAAGACCTCATCTCTACAATAAATCAAAAAATTAGCTGGACATGGTAGTGTGCGCCTGTAGTTTAGGCTACTTGGAAGGCTGAGGTGGAGGGATGGCCTGAGTCCAGTGGCTCAATGCTGGGGTGGCCGTGAGCGTGCTACTGCACTCCAGCCGGCGATGGAGTGAGACTCCAACTCAAAAACCCCCCCCCAAAACAAAAAAACCCCACACAACTTCTTTTCTGTGCCCTGCCTGTGGATGATTCCCACATAAATGCCTGGGAGTTCAATTTGACTAATTTGTCTCCACCTGAATCAGTTCACAAAGGAACTGAAGTGTCTGAGTAAAAAGCCAAGGGCTCTTTTATCTAGGTCCAACCTAAGCGAAGTTCAGAAAGGACCAAAGCAAATCATGCTGAGGAGGAAAGTCAAATGCCTCTGTTGCACCCAGACCAAGCCCTCTCTGTACCTTCTGCTGCAGGGCCCTTTCCAGGGATTCCACCTTCATCTGTTCTTTCCGGAGCCCAGCATGCAGAGCTGCACTCTCAGCCTTTGCTTTTGTTCGAACCTGAGCAATCTCTTCATTGGCTCTGTTCATGGTATTTGTTGGTAGAATAAAGAGACAGCACATGATTAGCCACTGGTCACAGCTAGGGTATCAGAATACTAATCACATTTTTCATATCCATGAAAAAATTGATATATTATTAAGGGAAAAAAATGTTGTATGACTGCAATGTAATATTTATTAAGTTACAGACTAGAGGGATATGTAATAAACTTATGTATAATATGTAGCAGGATAAATTTAACCTAAGTAGAGGGATATAACCTATCTAGAAGGACACACAATACATCTAATTACAGTACTATAGGAGTGAGAAGGGGAAAGAGGAAGTTAAAAAGTTTTAAAAATAAAAATATAACCCCACAAAACTATAATAAAAATACTGATTAATTATTTAAAAAAATAAATAAATAAAAATATAGATAGCAAAATGTACAAGGATATTTTACTTTTTAGGTAAAAAGTAAAGTTGGATACCACTCCCTAAGATAAATTCCAAATATATTAGATTTAAGAAATTAAAAAATTAGTCTAGGTGTGGTAGCTCATATCTGCAATCCCAGCACTTAGGGAGGTCAAAGCAGGAGGACTGCTTGAGTACAGGAGTTTGAGACCAGCCTGGGCAACATGAGACCTCATCTCTGCAATAAATAAAAAAATTAACCGGATGTAGTGGTGGACACCTATAGTCCCAGCTACTTGAGAAGCTGAGGTGGAAGGATTACCTGAGTCCAGGAGGTTGAGGCTGTGGTGAGCTGAGAGCATGCCACCACACACTCTAGCTTGGGCAAGAGTGAGACCTCAACATGAACAAAAAAAAATCTATTTTCAACCTATTAGATTTGCAGAAAACCAGAAGTTGATCTGATGGCAGAGCTATAGCAAAAAGAGATGCTCTCATATATTATACAAGGGTCTAAATTGATATATACCTAATGAGGCCAATTAGACAATATTTAACATAATTATACATTCATATATTCTTTGGTCCAGCAAATCCTTTTCTACCATATAGATCATAAAGAGAACTCACATGTACCTGAAATGAGCATCTACAGGGTCACTTATTAAAGCAATATTTGTAGCAACAAAAGATTTTAATTAACCTTAAATTATTGGTCCAACAGGAGGAAACTGGTTAAATAAATTATAAACTCCAACAGTGGAATATCACGTGGCTAGCACTTCATGAATTGACATGGAAAAGTTTTCAAAATTATATTGCTAAGCAAAAAAAGTGAAATATGCTATCATCTGTATGAAAAAGTAGGGAAAAAAATATCTGGAAGGAAAAACAGAAGCCAACAATAGTGATTACCTGGGGTGGGAAAGAGGTGGGAATCCAGTGAAAAAAGGCTGCAAAGGGAGATACTGTTTACTTTTTTTATGTTTAATGTCTTAACCATGTAGAAACAATTCAAAAAGTGAAATAAAACATACACGTGCAAATTCAGCCTGAAGTTGCAAAACAGTGAATTTCTTTTTGGTCTCTGTCAATCTTCCCACATCATGAAAAGTGAAATTAAAAGTTATAAACGGAGCCAGGTTCGGTGGCTCAGCCTGTAATCCCGTGCCTTGGGAGGCTGAGGTGAGTGGATTGCCTGAGTCCACGGGTTCGAGACCCGCCCGGGCAACTTGGTGAGACCTCATCTCTACAATAAATAAAAAAAAATTAGCTGGGCGCGATAGCACACGCCTGTAGTTCCAGTCACTTGGAAAGCTGAGGCAGAAGGATTGCCGGAGCCCAGGTCGAGGCTGCAGTGGCTGAGAGTGTGCCACTGCACTCTAGTCTAGGCGACAGAGTGAGACTCCAACTCAAAAAGAAAAAAAAAGAAAAAAAAAGTTATAAACTTGGCTGGGCTCGGTGGCTCAGCCTGTAATCCTAGCACTTTGGGAGGTCAAGGCAAGAGGATTGCCTGGGCCTGTGGGCTCAAGACCAGCCGTGGCAGCTTGGCGAGACCTCGTCTCTGTAATAAATAAAAAATTAGTTGGACATGGTAACGTGCACCTGTAGTTCTGGCTACTTGGAAGGCTGAGGCAGAAGGATCACCAGAGCCTAACAAGTTGACGCTGGGGTGGTGGTGAGTGTTCTACTGCACCCCAGCCTGAGTGATGCAGTGAGACTCCAATTCAAAAAAAAAAGTTATAAGCTCAGCTGGGCACCGTGGCTCATGCCTGTAATCCCAACCCTTTGGGAGGCTGCGACAGGAGAATCACTTGAGTCTACGAGTTCAAGACCAGCCTGGGCCACATAGCGAGACCTTGTCTCTGAAAAAATAAAATAAATAAAATGAAATGTTAAAAAAAAAAACCAACAACAACAACAAAAAAGAAGTTATAAACTCTTACTTGTCTAGTTTCTCTTCTGCATGGATTTTCAAGGCCTGGTATCGCTGTTCCTCCTGTTTAACTCTTGCTAAGTAATCCTGAGCACATTTTTTCAAGGCTTCTTCATTCTGTTCCAAAGTGATAATTTAAGATAAACATGTTATTTTGTTTCTTCTACCACATATCAGAGTTTTCACTTTAAAAAAAAATGGGAGCCGGGCTCGGTGGCTCAGCCTGTAATCCCGCGCCTTTGGGAGGCTGAGGTGAGTGGATTGCCTGAGCCCACGGGTTCGAGACCCGCCTGGGCAGCAAGACCTCATCTCTACAATAAATAAAAAAATCAGCCGGGCGTGGTAGCGCATACCTGTAATTCCAGCTACTTGGAAGGCTGAGGCGGAAGGATCACCGGAGCCCAGCAGGTAGAGGCTGCGGTGGCCGGAAGCGGCCACTGCACTCCAGTCTGGGCGACCGAGTAAGACTCCAACTCAAAAAAAAAAAAAAACCAAAAAAAAATGGGAAAATCTAATTCAGATGCCTTTAATTTACACTCAGTGGTAACTTGAAAAAGGTACATGTTAAGTCTTACTGAAGAAATTCTACAAAATCTCTTCATGTATTAATTTTTAATATCATGCCAATATGCCTACTTTAGGAAGGCAGTTACTCAAAAGTGAATGGCAATTTGATTCCCATAATTGATAAAAAAGACAGTCTCAATTTTATTTTAGTATGAAAATAAAGCAATTTCATTGCTGCAAATGTGTCTTGTTGATAGTGTTTAACTAAACTAAACCGATATGCTCATTCACATCTAAATTTGTAATATTATACTTAATTTCTGCCAGAATATGCAGCTTACATTTTTCAGTGATACAGAATCCCTTCTACTTTTACTAATATTGAAAAGGTGAATTATTAGAAATTTCTAGAATTCTCCTAAGGTCTAAGGGTTCTAGTTCTTACACTTCATGCCACACTCTGGTTGTGTCTGGGTTTACCGGCTTGACATAGCAGAGGAATGGCCAAGACACACCACCCAGTAGGCCAGATGCCTGAACAACCAAACAAAAGCGGGAAAAAAAACAGCTTCACTGGAATAGAAGACACAAGGCTAATAGGCCTGAGTCCCTATTTAAAAGACTACTCACACCTCTGGCATACACATTTGATGACTCACTATCAAGAAAATATACCACTGGCAAGAAGATAGAAGGAAAAGGACACACTACCTTCTTGAACCCCTCCAAAACGCCTTTTAGGTTCTCATATCTCCTGAAGAGATCAGAAAGGGACCTTTCCACAGAGTTAAGGTCAGCCAGGGCCTGTTCCTTCTCCATGGTCAGTTGCTGGAAGCTCTTCTGAGAGGTCATACTCGTCCTCTGTTCATCTTCTGGGAATCAAAAGTCAAAAGTAATGGAATGTTTATTCAACAAATAATTAACAGCTACTCTGTGGGAGCTAAGCATTGTTCCTGGTGATGGGAACACAAAGTTCCCATTCTCAAGGACTAACATTCTAGTTGAGGGAGACAGATGGTGACAAGTGATGGGGACAACACAAAGCAGGGCAAGAGGGATGGGGCAGAAGTAGGGGTTGTTATTTTATAGAGAGCAGACTTTCTCAGTGAGAGCTTTGAGCAGAGACCCGAAAGAACTGAGAGTAGGAGCCATGCAGCCACCTGGGAGAACAGAGTAAGAACAGCCGTGACAGAGGCTCTGAGTTGGGATGGCATTAGGTGATATAGATGGTAAAAGCTATTATTTCAGTACTTGAGTGCAGAAAGATCAGACTTTGACTTAGGGAGCCAATCCTCACAATATAGACTAGAAAAGGCTCTAAGTTCTATGCAGGAGGATCAATCACCGTTGCTTTGTAAAGGCACCACTGGGTCTAAAGCAGGGAAACTACAACTTGCAGTAGGGTAAGGCTCTGCACCAAAACACAGCAGCATTACTGATGTGGCAAGGCCACCAATACTCAGTACTGCATGGAGGGCTTTTCACAGAATTAAAGTGTTTGTGATCCTCTAAAATGAATCTAACTACAGTTGATCCTCACCATGTGTGGAGTCTGTATTTATGAATTCGTCCACTTACTAAAATTTATTTATAACCCCCAAATCTATCCTCATGGGCCTATGCAATCATTAGTGGACATGTGCAGTGGCAAAAAATTTTTAGTCACCTGATGCACACATTCTCAGTTGGGGCTGAACAAGGTGATACTCTGCCTTCTTGTTTCATACTATAAATAAGTGTCCTTCTTATAGTCTATTTAGTGCCATATTTTTTTGCAATTTTGTTCTTTCTGTTTGTGAGTTCACTGTTTAAAATGGTCTCAAGGGGTAGTGCAAAAGTGCTATCTGGTGTTTCTAAGCACAAGAAGACTGTGATAGACCTTAAGCTACTAGATAGGCTTTGATCAGATGGGAGGTATAGTGCCACTGAGCTCAATGCTAACAAATCAATAATACCTTTTAAAGCAGGTATCTTTAAATAGAAACTAACATAAGACAAGGTCATGTTTAATCAGATGATGAAAATGCTGTGAGCAAAGGCTCACAGGAACCTAACCATGTATTTCCTCTAGAAGCAGTGGTTCAGTGATCACTAATTCAGTGTTTCCAGTGATTTTATAGAACACACCTACCATGGATAATGATATTTGACTATATCTAAGTGACAGTCAACAGAAGTTAGTACTATGATCTGAAAATCATCCAGGGATCCTACTATGGTCTTTTTTTTAAAGCAGGATTTATTGAGAGGACAGAAAAGCTCCCACAGTGGGAGGGGACCCGAAGGGGTTGCCCCCTGCTATGGTCTTAATGTTTATATACTCCCTCCCCAAATAGTGTTGAAACGTAATCCCTAGTGTGAAAGTGTTAAGGGGGGTGACTTTGGGAGATGATTAAGGTGGGATTAGCATCCTTATAAGGGAGCTAATCTAATCACATAACTAGCTAGCCACTTCTAAGAGGAACATATCCTCATTAGTCACCCTATCAGGTGGAGCTTTGACATTGAACTTCCCAGTCTTCAAATCTGTGAGAAATAAATGTTGTTTATAAGCTACCTAGTTTATAGCATTTTGTTATAGCAGCTTGAACAGAGTAAAGCAGATCCTAGGGCTCATACTCCAGAAAAAAAGTTTTCTTCTTACCAATCATTTGAGCAATGGTCTTTTCATACTCAGCTACAATTTTCCTAAATACGAAAAGAAAGAATTTATTATCAGAAGAGAAGAGAATGTTCAGACAATAGAAGTTACAGAAATACTACTCCAAACAATGAACATATCAATATATATTGACAAATTTACATAACCCATTTATCTGCTTTGGGGCTCTCTCATTCTCTCTCTCTCTCTCTTTTTACATTACATTAAATGTAAAAAGGTTTATTAGAGTACAAAAAGGGATTTCTTAATATTTTATATTTAACAAGCCTTATGCTCTATTTATAGACACAACTATCTTCACTTTCTCTTTGCACCTATTTGAATACCTCAAGGCAATAGATTAATCCCACTTAGACAAATCAATCTTTTACAAATTAAGTTAAAGACATTGTTCCAGGCTCTTCCTAAGAGATATAATCTGACTTCAGGCTTTCCTGGCCACAATCTACCCTTTCAGGCACTCTGCCCTCTAATTTCTGTTACAAGTTTTATTTTGTGTGCTAATTCCAAAGTATATCATTTATTCAAAGACTTTAAAGGCCATCCCCTTGGGTTGACTTTTCTTCCACTGAAATGCACCAATGTCCTTCTGACCCTGTCCAGTGATGGGTGCTCTCCCCTGTAGCTCCTCAGTGAGAAACATCATTCCCTCCTCTGTCCTTGCTGGTGATGCCCACCACTTTTGATGTCGTAACCAAGTTAGTTATGGCGGATGGCCTCCGCTCTCTAAAGGCAGGAGATTCCCTTCCTATCCACCAAGCTCAGCACAGGGCCTTAAACCCAGGAAATGCTCAAAAGACAACACAAGAGCCACAAATGAGAGTGGACAGATTTATATGTTTCTTAATCATTCAAGTGCTCACTGTACAATGTGTGATTTTATGCTTTTTTGTCCCTCTCTTTTGATGCCATCTTTCATCATTTCACAGTTCATATAACTCTCCTTTCTAGGGCATGTGCAGGAGAAATAAAAATATTTCAATTTAAAGTCAATCGATTTTGTTGCCTGTTAACAAGCTTTTTAGAATCTATTTGGTGGTCATGTAATTTGAAGCTCACATGCATAATTAATTTTTAAAAGTATTACGAGTTTCAATGCCTCCATTATCGAATATATCAACAAATCTTATTATCCTATATTCCAAATAATATTTTGGTACAAATTTCTGTCAATTCTTTTAAGAAGAATGATGTGGGTTCTGCTTTCATGTAATGTTCCAAACAACCCAAGATAGCTCCAGTATTTGAATAGAAATAACTAGCCACAATAGTCATGAAATGGCATTCTCAATCACAAAGTAAAATGCAAACAGTAAAACCCTCAAGTTCTCATCAGCTGGTTATGTGGTGAGCAACACTTTCATCACTTTCATCTGTATTAAATCATGAAAGCAATTAGCCCCTTCCACCAAACCTCCAGTCTAACCTCATCTCCAAGACTTCTTGTCGGGTCTCTTCGTATTTCTTCTTCCATTCATTTGCTTCAATCTCTTTAGTGATTATCTAGAGTATAATAAAGCTTGGTTTTACATAATGGATCTATAACAGTTTGAATTTAAGATCAGAGACTGAAAACAGTACACAGCCAGATCTAACCCAAGACGTTCTATCTTTATTTGGAATATAAAACTTCAACATTTATATAGAATGTTCATAAACATTTGGAAAAGTACACCCTGTAGCATGAGGGTAAAGGTGAGCACAATTATCTCCCAAGAATTCCATGTGCTATTTCCAGGCCCTGTGAATCTTACATGGGTCTAAGGTCGGCCTCTCAGCACTGCAAACCCAGACCCTGACTGGAACAGGATGCCAAGAGCAGAGATTCACCTTATCCAAAGCCATGTAATAGCAATTGATGCCAGACCACCAATTTTATTTAGGATGAGAAATTGAACTGACACAAAATCAGAGCATTAGAAGCTGGCATAAGCAGCACATCCTCTTTCTACAGAGATTTGTAATTGTTGATAAGACCAGAATCAGGACAAAGGGCTCAGATGGAGAACGTCCTGAACTGGGTGCATCCAGCTATAGGGCCCATCACCAAAAGCAGGGCATCACTACTCAGACCAGAGCCCACATCCATATTTGGGATGCCCTTGTTAACTGGAAAGAATTCTCTGAATTCAATACCTCAAACTCCATTTGCCCTGGACAAGGCTTGGCTGCGCATCCATCACTCTCCTTTTACTATACTTCCCTGGCTGTGCCTCTCTTCCTAATTAGTACATTCTTTATTTTTGGTGCCTTTAATCAGGATCTCAATCACCTAGAAGTCATCCTGTCTGCTTCAGGTAACTTGGCACATTTTTTCTTTGATCCATTACATGGTCATCTCATAGTTTAACTCCCAGGAGGAAAATAAAGCCATTTTTCTCATTTACAGATGTTGACAGGCCTGCTTACCACTTCTCCCAAGTTTTGATGATAGGACTAGCTGACATCCAACCTGATGTTATTTTATAAAGTTTTTAAAGACCTATAGCCCTAATATCAGTAAGGATGACTATCACTAATAAGTCAAAAAACAACAGATGCTGGCCCAGCTGCAGAGATAAAGGAATACTTCTATACTTTTGGTGGGAATGTAAGCTAGTAAAACCATTGTGGAAAGCAGTGTGGTAATTTCTCAAAGATCTAAAAACTGAGCTTCCATATGATCCAGCAATTCCTCTTCTGGGAATATACCCAGAGGAACATAAATCACTCTACCAAAAAGTCACCTGCACATGTATGTTCACTGCAGCACTGCTCACAAGAGCAAAACATGGAACCAACTCGGATGCTCATCAAAAGTAGACTGGATAAAGAAAATATGGTACATATACATGATAGAATATTATGCAGCCAAAAAGAAGAAAAAAATCATGGCCTTCACGGCAACATGGATGCAACTGGAGACCATCATACTACATGAACTATCACAGAAACAAAGAACTACCGCGTTCTCACTCATAAGTGGGTCCTGATCACTGGTCACACAAGCATAAGGGTGGGATCAGCAGATGCTGGACTTTGCTAGGAAAGAGAGAGAAGAAGAAGGGAGGGGACATGTGGCAACACACTGGGTACCTAGTCCACTCTCAGAGGACGAGAGGGCCAGCTAGAAGCCCAAGGAAGCCCAAACTTCACCTGCATGCAACTTTTTTTAATGCAGTTAACCCTCTCTTAATAAAATAAATAAATAAATAAAAGACCTATAGCCAAGGTACTTAAGCATTCTCATTATACTGTAAAAATACATTATATATTCTTTAAAAAAAAGCTAGAATCATCAAAAAAGACACAAACCCAACAAAAAAAACAGCACAGAAATATAACGGGAGAGGGTGGCAACTCATCAACAGTGTATTAACAGTGTGTCTTTCATATTTTTCAGATCACCCAGGAAAGGCCTAGCAGTAATCTATTTTGAATAGAGGCTGCTTAAGAAATATAGTACAGGAATTTGAGAGTTGAACTGTTTAATGTAAGAAGGGATGAACCAGGCATGGTGGCTCACCCCTGTAAGCTCAGTACTTCGAGAGGCTGAGTTGAAAGGAAGCCCAGGGTTCACGACCAGCCTGGACAGCCTGGTGAGACCTTATCTCTACAATAAATCAAAAAACTAATTAGCCAGGTGTGGTGGCGTGTGTCTATAGTCCCAGGTATTTGGAAAGCTGAGGTGGAAGCATCATCTGAGCCCAGCAGGTCAAGGCTATGGTGGCTGTGAACCTGGGCAACAGAATGAGACTCTGACTCCAAAAAAAAAAAGGAAGGCCGGATATGGTGGCTCACATCACATCAATATGTAATCCCAGCAATTTGGGAGGCCAAGGCCAGAAGATTGACTAAGCCCATGGGTTCAAGACCAGCCTGGGCAACTTGGCGAGACCTCATCTCTACAATAAATCAAAAAATTAACTGGGTATGATAGCACAGGTACTTGGAAGGCTGAGACAGAAGGATCACCTGAGCCCAGCAGGTTGAGGCTGTGATGGCTGTGAGCATGTCACTGCACTACTGTCTGGGTGACAGAGTGAGACTCCAACTCAAAAAAAAAAAAAAAAAAAGATGAAGCTGGGCATGGTGGCTCAGGTCTGTAATCTCAGCACTTTGGTAGGCCGAGGCAAGAAGATTGTTTGAGTCCAGGGATTCGAGACCAGCCCGGGCAACTTGGCAAGACCTTGTCTCTTCTATAAATCAAAAAAGATTAGCCAGGTGTGGTAGCGCATGACTGTAGTTCCAGCTACTTGGAAGGGTGAGGCAGAAGGATCATCTAAGCCCAGCACGTCAAGGCTGCGGTGGCCGTGAGCCACTGCACTCCAGCCTGGGTGACAGAGTGAGACTCCGACTCAAAAAAAAAAAGGGATGAAAGTAAGAAACCATTATTACTGCAAAGATTTTTTTTAACAATTTTAGGTATGAGCATATACCTTCTGTAAAATGAAAGCACTGATTTAGTTATGTGAGCAAAGCTGGCAAGATTAGCTATTTAAAATGTCAAGGCTGAAAGAAAAAGAAGGGTACAAAAATCTTAAGACTATTTCAGATTGTCAACCTTTTTCCCCGGACACCAAAATGTTAGGACTCCAGCACCAATGCTGAGTTTTACAGGGAGCCCTTTAAGTGAGCTGAACAGGCTGTGGGAAATAAAAACTTTCACCTGGGATAACTCGAGCCAACAGAGATGCAATCTGTCTGCTGGCACATGGGCCTTACAAAGAAATGGAGTGACAAGCAGGCTGAACAGGAGAACCTTTACCTCTTCTCTGATCAAGGTGAGCACAGCTGTCTTATCTGATTCACTGAGGCAGATGCCATCCAGGGGGCTCTCACCTCCACAGGACACCGACACAGGGGCCTTCTCTGTCAAGGACTCCGGAAGTCCCTGGGGGGAAGGGTTACATTGAATACATCAGTCTTCAGCTTCTTAACCCCAGATATCCTTCAGTAACTTCCTTGATCATACCCTTTAAAAACACGTTTAAAGAAAAAAATGAGGGAAGCTTTTAAACAAACAAATCTAATGACAGTACTATCTAAAGAAAACTTGTTATAATGACTATCAGAGTGGTTGTAGTTTCTGTTGAACAGGTAACCTAGAGAGTTTTCTTCTTTATCCTAAGGTAGAAAGCATACTTATCATAGTGGTCAGTCACCAAAGAATCACAGGCATAAAAGAGAAAAACATCCACAATTATGTTGCTGAGGATGACGATGCATTCCATGTAAATGGAACTTAAAAAAAAGTGACAGCTGGCCAGCATGATGGCTCAAGCCTATAATCCCAGCACTTTGGGAGGCCGAGGCGAGAGGATTGCCTGAGTTAGTGGGTTCGAGACCAGCCTGGGCAACACGGTGAGACCTTGTCTCTACAATAAAAATTAAAAAAAAAAAATTAGTTGGGTGTGGTAGCAGGCACCTGTAGTTCTGGCTGCTTGGAAGGCGGAGGAGGAAGGACACCTGAGCCCAGCAGTCGAGGCTACCCGGAGGCCAGGAACATGCCACTGCACTCCAGCTTGGGTGACAGAGTGAGACTCCAACTCACAAAAGAAAAAAAAAAAAGGACAGCTGTCCCTGTTATATATTGATGCTTTGTTGTATCTTTAGCCACTTTGGATGAAAATGTTTCTAAAATGTGCTACTAACTTTCAGGCCTAAGGAGGAAGAAATGGCAAATATATCTGAACCCTGACCCCCACCCGCCATGATGATTTTGGATCATCATGAACTTCAACTGCTCTGCATGATGGTCTGCTGTGATCCAGCTGTTGGGTGTACGCCATTGTTTATCCAGGTGCAGAATGGCCAAAGAGAAGTCAGAATCTGTATCTGCATTTTTTTTTTTGTCTTTTTGAGTCAGTCTCACTCTGTTGCCCAGGCTGGAGTGCAGTGGCATGCTCACGGCCACCGCAGCCTCAACCTGCTGGGCTCAGGTGATCCTTCTGCCTTAGCCTTCCAAGTAGCTGGAACTATGGGCGTGCGCTACCACAACCAGCTTATTTTTTGATTTATTGTAGAGATGAGGTCTTACCAAGTTGCTCAGGCTGGTCTTGAATCCCTGAGCTTAGGCAGTCCTCTCGCCTTGGCCTCCCAAAGTGCTTGGATTACAGGCTTGAGTCACTGTGCCCGGCCTGGCCTGCGTTTTGGTTCTTCCTTGTTAGTGAGTTTTCAGCTCCCTTCTGGTAACTCTTCACCTTCTGATATGTTCACTTGCTTCTATCATAAACTCAGGTTCCAGGGAAAAAGACTGGGGAGCATTTTTTTTCATGAGAACACGGACTTTGTACTATTCCCTTCCTAAAAGGCATTTTTGATAGCTATTTCCTCCCGCCTTTGAAAGTAAACTTCTTGTATAAATAAGTGATCTAAATAGTTGGGAACATCCAAAATGCCAACCAAAGTGACCTGGAAATAATCTTAATTTTAAATGTGAGTATAACTGCTCAATTAGCTATTGATTATAATCAATCAGTTCTCTAATATCTTGTGAGAACTAAGACTAAACAGAAAGTCCAAGGTCAACTTAGAGCAGTAACTTTTAAACCTTTCAGGGTCATTATAACCTCACCTTCTCTCTAGAAAGTGCTCAGAAAAACATACACAATTTTAGCATGCAGCTTCACAGACCTCAGCAATGGGCTCAATATAGAAACCCACCCGGGAACACAGAAAAGGGAAATACATAAGCCATAGGCTAGCAGTGCCTGCATTCCAGCAGCATGTGGGGGAGGGCAGCCTACCACACTAAAAGAAGTCCAAGGTCCCCCCAAGAACCTCTCCCTTTTTATCTTGGGCCATATCCACCTCTAGAATCAGAAGGTACTTGTGATGGGCGCCCTCTAACATGGATCCCAAGAACCCCTAACTCCTGGTACTAAGGCTCTGTCCCCGTAATCTCCTCCCTTTCAGTGTAGGCTGGACCTAGTGATTCACTAGAATATGGCAAAGTCATGGATGTCACTTCTGAGGTTAGGTTACGAGCAGACTCTGGCTTCCATGTTTTAAGCAGCTTTACAGAAAAGGCCCATGTGGCAAGAAATAGGTATCTCTGTCAACTGCTAAGAAGGACCTGAGATTTGCCAACAACTGTGTGGATGAGCCTGGAAGCAGATCCACTCCAAATCAAACCTGGAGATGACCACAGCCCTGGTCTATATCCTAATGGCAGCTTGTGAGAGACCCTGATTCAGAGGCACCCAGCAAAGCTGCCCTAGGATTCCTGACCCACAGAAACAATGAGATAATAGACATTTGTTGTTTTAAGCCTTGAAATAATTTGTTACACAGCAGTAGACAGTTGACACAACTGTGGACACTTGAATCATTTCACTAACTTCCTGTGACTTGTTTTTTATTAAGAAACTTTCTCACAATCTTGCTTCTGATGCAATTTGCCTAAAGGAAGATAATGTACCAGGTCAAATTGACACATTTGATTTACCTTGTTATATTTCTGGTTCTAAATTAGTACATTCCACAGTCAGGTTTTTGTGAGTTGTTATATTAAGCTAGAAGAGTTAATTCTTAGGAAACAGCCTCTCTATGCCTCCCATGGCCAACAAACATGGTGTTCAGAAGAGGCAGCACCCTGAACTGCAGCAGAGTTAGATGGTTCTGGCAAGTAGGCTCTTCAGCTGCTGCTCCCCTGGCCACTCTGCTCTGCTTGGTCACATCCACAATCCTTGCCACTCAAAAGGCAACCGCACAAGAGTAGGAATGATGTATGCCATGGCTGATGTTAGCCCCATTTTCCAATCTCCTAGAATTTAACTTTTTACACTCCTTAGTCCTTTATATTGCTTATCAAATAGTGTAGAAAGTCTGCAAAATCTACCATCACAAAGGATTGCCAAGTGATTTCCTTCAGGGCTGAGCAATCTATTATATCATTAATAAAGACGCTAAATCAATCATGTCCTTCCCATTTCATGTTCTCTAATCCTCCTCTCAGTCCCATAAAGCATGCACAATTGAGGACCAACAAAGACCTGTCTTTGACAACAGAACTCAGTGCACTCCAGGTTGCAAATTTACAGTGAGCACAGATGTCACAAAGTAATGCCCTTTGCTTGTGCCCTTGCGGTGGGAGAATTAGCGTCACTAATCTGTCACAACATGCAGAGTATGCTCATCCCATCGTTTGTCTTTATTTTATTTTTTTTCATAATCAATATTTTTTATTATGGTTTTGTGGGGTACAGTTAAGGGTTAGGTGTACAATTACGTTTCATTCAGGGACCCTGTTGATAAGAGGCGTTTCTCCATCCCCAGACAGACATTTGCTACTGTTAATCCCATCTCCCTCCCCACCCCTTATCATTTGTCTTTAAACCACTGGAGCAGCCGGGCTCGGTGGCTCAGCCTGTAATCCCAGCACTTTGAGAGGCTGAGGTGAGTGG